ACCAGTAGTCTTACTATAGTTTATTAATGGTCTTTCTGCCCATTTATTATGTTAACTTGTATTTTGAGAAAATATATAGCAGTGTTACAAACCCAGCTTTAAATATTCAATATGTGGAATTCATTTGTCTGGAAGATACTAAAACCCTTCATCAGTGATTAACTGCTTTCTCTGGTGTGTCTCAGCCTCCCATAAATCAGCACTGGCTTTGGGCCCATGACGGTGAGTTATATGTATTAACAGTCTTGGGTCTAAGCCTATGTTCCCTGCCAAAAATAGTGTATTTGTGTCATTTTTTTCAATGTGAATGAGTAGTAGGTGCAATTCACTTCATTTTGCTTCACAGTTTGACTTTGGAATAGAAAATCTTAAATAAACACAGCTTTTTCAACACTGGGATGTTGATCAGAAAAATGTATTCATACACTTACGTAAATAGTCCCCCTTAAGTCAAGGGACTAACCATGGCTATGAAGGTTTTTAGGACTGCATGAGTCTGTCTACCCCTGTCTCCTTTGGGGTTAGAACAGTGTTTAGTATTAAGTAATTGAAAGAAGCATGAAGGTCTGTTTGCATTTACAGTTTGTGAAATACTGTTTTGCTTGTAACTTACTAGGGACCAATTGTTTGAATCATGGGGCTACATAAACACAAAATATTATTGAAATACTTGAATGTGAAACATTGTAGTTTGAAGAAAAAAATATATATAACCAGATATCACAGGATGGAAGAATTTTTGCAGGGTCCTAAGTGGTTTGAGTGAATGGAAGTATTAGAGGGCCCTTTGGACTGCTGCTACTTTGCAAAACTAATGATCAAAGGTAGTGCACAAATCAGGACTTCACAAGGTAGATCCTGATAGGAATCTATTCTTTCAAAGATAAATATCTTTCATTGTTGCTTAACTTTATAAACTATATTGATGGTTTGTCATTGACTGACACTTTAAGCCTGTATTTCCAGTGGGACAGATGTACTAAAGTACATGGTTCAGGGCAATAAAAAAATAAGTTTGATCTGTGACTGAAAAGTGAGAGAACTGGTGCTTTATGGCATTCTATAAAGATGTCATAAAATATCTATTTATTTGACAAATATGCAAAAAAATCGAGGACTTTTATTTCAAGATGTTGTTGATTTTTCTAAAATAGTCCCTCTGGATTTTAAGCACACTTGATTTTTAGAATTTCTGGAGAGGCTAGGAGGAGGAGAGATGAAAAGGGGGAAAATATTGCAACTATCAATTTTCCAGACCATTCTCTCTTTTTGTTTTTAAGCATAGGTTACTATAACTAAAGACAATAATACCTGATGCACAATGAAAGCACCTCTTTACATAATCTCAGTAATTACATGACAAATATGTCATTTACTTAATGTTTTTAGTAGCTACCAATCTTAGTAGCAAAGGTAATTTCTAGTCTTCATTTGTAGTAACTTAATGGAAATTGGTAAGGTACAAGTAAGCCATATTTGAGCAAAAATACAGTGCAGTGTGACTTGCAGTATTTCTTGCCTTCAAGAAAAACAAACTGACATTTCACTCATGTTTGCAGTAGTCAGCTTTGTAGTATGAACCAGTTGTCCGGACACAAATGCTTACAAACTTTTGGTCTAGTTTACCTTTCACTAAAGTTAGGAAGAGCCATCTTGCTATGAATTTGATAGTTACAAGGGTCATCAGTTTTCTGAGTGTGTATAAAATAGTTTCTACAAATTAGTAAATAACCTAGCTTGCCCATATGTATGTCAGTTTAAAAAACAACTGCATTGGTGACAAATTTTAAGCCATATCATAGAGTGAACTTTATTTGACAATTTGAAATATGAAGATTTCTAGTGATGGTATGAGATTTCCAGTCCTTCGGTAAGTGTTCATCATCCCACAGTTTTTGTATTTCTTTTTACTACCACATAATTCCTAGATGTTATCTCTTTGTGTATCTCTCTACACTTTCTGTGATCCATTATGAAAGTCTTTAACTATTTGATCATCTTTTCTATCTTAAGCATATCATTTGAATGAGAACTTTTCAGTTCAGATGCATGCTTCCTCCACTTAAATTTAAGGATTAATCAGTAGCAGAAGTTTTTTGTGTGATAGAGGTGTGTGTTTTCATGATGTTTTACCAGTGCACATATGTTCTTTCTGTGCTCAGAGCCAACTGAGAACTATTTCCATACAATACTGTGTGGAGATAAATTAGTGATGTCAAGCCAAAGCTAATAAGCACTGCTGAGAGGCAAAGTGTATTAGCACAGTATTGAACCCAAGTTAATATATCAAGATGGCTTCCACTTGCACTGTGTGCAGAGCTGTTTGCATCTTCCTTCAAAACCCTGTATGATTTGCCATTAGTGGACTGGCTCTTATGAAAGCCAGGTATGCTTGATGAGAGAACAGCGCAGAAAATGAAGTATTCCTTTCTATGTCTTATGTGTAATTCTGACTACAGCAGTGTCTGCAAATACTGTAGCTGTCCATCTTGCTAAGTAGCTTTAGCCTTTCCATCCTGGAAGATGGTAGGGTAATGGAGATGACTACATACTGCACACTAAATGTTTGTTCCAAAATACACAGTATGATTATAGTCAGCAGAGGACTTCTGACCAGAATATTAGTAGTAGTCTCTGAAAGAGATGAGTCATTCTTTTCAGTCTCAGAACTTTATACTTTTCATACAGTGACTCTTCTACCAGGATCCCTCACATTTATTTAGTCTTAATATTTTTCCCTGAGATCTAATAAGGCATAACAGAACTGCAACATATGTGAGGGTTATGTTAGGTGCATGACGCTTGGCAGACCTGGAACTGATTTTTAGAGTAAGTAAAGGGGTTTTGCTCCAAGGAAAAAGCAGTGCCTTCCTTTGCACCTCCTTCACTTAAAATTAATCAGAAATAAAAACTGGAAGATGGTGAAATCCTTAGTCCTAGAAGGACAAGTGGCTCACCATGTAAGTTACAGTAATACATTCATTGTAAATATGTACCGTAGGAGGGCATGACTTCTGCCTCTCTCACTACCAGTCCTTCACATTTAGCTCTGGCAAAGTGAATCAAAACAGTAGGTCACTCTGAGATTAGTTCCTCGGTGCCACTACTTCTCACTAGGACATGAATCATGCAATTTTGAATAGTTCTGGCTTGTTTAAAGGCTGTAGATAATAGCAAAGATAGGGCTGCAGGCAAAAAAGTGAACGAACTGTTATTTCCAAAACAATTGCTCTGTAAGTAAAGTGAATATGTACAGAAGGAAGTAATGCTTTAGAAGTGCTTTCTCTAAAAGGCATTTCTAAAATGTCTAGTTCATAATTTAGAATAGTTCAATATAGCTATTAATGTAGTCATTCTTAGAAAAACAATTATGCCAACTGAACAAGTGGGAAATTTGTGTAGAAAATGGTCTAAAATGCAGAATAATACAACTGGTGTGTTAGATGTGCAGTGGTAGTATTAAAGTAATACAATCAAAATACTGATCATGGGTTTTGATAGGCCTGTTACAAATGCTATGGCTTCTAAATTTCATTTTCCTTATCAAAAATTTTAAAAGGAACTAATGTTTCTGGCAACACATGGGAAAAAATTTCTAATATCTGAATTTTTTTTCCGGTTTTATGTTATTTACAGACAACTTTAAGACTTAAAATAATTGTTGCTGATTAAAATAATTGTGGTTAAAAATCAACAAATTTCATCATATTTTCCTCAATGAATGATTATATACTTTTAAAAATAGAATGCTGCTCTAATCCTTTAAATGTGTACATTCTGTATGAACTCAGGCATATTGTCAATGAATATCTAGTTCATTTGCAGTCATATATCTTTGTATAAAATTTATTAAAACTTTTTGTCACTTTCTGGTTGAGAGATAAACTGTTCTTTATGAGAAGCTATACTTATATTCTCCTGGTCAACATACTGTTTTTATCTGTTAAGAAAATGGTTTCAGGCTCAAAAAAAAAAATCTGGTAATTAAAAATAATTTAATTCTTTAAGTAGTCTGTGCCTGAACTGAAGCAATGAACATAAACAAAGTATATCAAATAAATGAGAGACACAGTCTTGTGAAAGGATTTTTCTGTGAGTTGACAAGTACTTTCAGTTTTCACTGTGAAGGTACATGTTGTCTCTTGTGACTGGTTCTACCTGTCTTTGGAGATTGACTACTACCTTTTTATGTTCAGGGTCCCTTTACTTTTTGTTGACTTCATGTGAAATTGCAGACACTCAGTATGATCAAAGAGGCATGTGGGAGGCTTCCAGTATCAGTCCCTGCACTTTCTATTGTTCTGATTCTCCAACTGCACGCATCTCTTAATTCACATTGACTTTAGCATCCCTCAAATAACTGAAGTGCTTGGTTTGAGTCTTATACTAATCATCCTCAAAGAAGAATGCCGAATGTGAAAGAAGATAATTTGTCTCAGAAGTCTCTGCCAAATATCTCTAGATGGAGTGGTTTCTATTGCAGCTGTTCCATGTGTTTCTCTTTTTCTACATTAAATGTTAAGCTCCTCTTTAATGGACTGTAATGTTTTCCAGTGGGCACTCGATAACAAAGAATGATAAAAAAATGTGTATAAAGATGATTATTTTTTTTTAAAAGCATTTTTAAAGCATGAGAAAGCCCTCATTGATAAAAGTAAGAGCTGACATAAAATTACTAGTTTTACTTGGAATATAAGGAAAGGCAGCCCTGAGTACTTGATGCATGAAGAGAACACTTTCCAAGACGGTGTCAATATTAATATTTTTTAATCTTAATTCCTTTGTGATAGCACTCTGATGCAGTTGATATACGTTCTGTACTCATGAAAAGTATTTCATAATAGTATTCATATCTTTTAAAATGTGGTGGGGTTTCATTACAGGATTTTTTCATGTCAAATCCTATATAAATTTTTTTGGTTTTTTTTTTTCAGCGTAGTCTGTAAGTGTCTTTACTGATTGAGAAGCTGAAACTATTTTTTGCCTGTGAAAACTGGAAAATGTTCAAAAATCAGTATCAGGTAAAATGGAAATAGTTCTATTTTTTACCCTCTTTCATTTTACCTCTGAGAGAACTCAAAATAGCTTGTTCTGGGGGGCAAAAAGTCCAGTTACAGAAATGTTTTGGAATGTTTCATTATTCAGTTTTTTTACAGAGATGTTATGAAATAGTGGGTAGCTGCTAATGCTCTCAGGTCTAGAATGGACACCAGCATGGTGTTACCAATGGCTTTTTGTTTGTCTTTACCCTTGTGGGCCAGGGAAGGCACACCATTGGCTCCCACCCAGTCACGGAAGCAGGCCCAACTCTTAAGGTATAATCAGAAAAGCGAGGTTGGTTTATTCTCTCTGTCGAGTGCAAGGTTGTGTCAACACTAGTCACATCATTTGCAAACCTTGTTATCCCTTTTACTGTTTCCTGGCCTTCCTCTACACCATGCTTTGCCTCCCTTTCTCTGCACCAGTCCCTTCCCAAGAGAGCAACGCACCCTAATTACTTTTTCCCTACTGGTCCCAGTTGTGCTACATCTGTACCTGAAATGGGTATTTCTGATGCTGTTACCTAGGCTATTTCAGATTTATATGGTATTTCTGATACTGTTGCCTAGGTGCTGTTAGGTTTGCAAGATTGTGCTCCCCAAAAGATGCCCCATACTCTTCTCCAATAGATTGTGGAGTTTGACAGTTTCTTGCTTAACTCCCACCAGTCACCCATGAGATCCAGCCATCTTCCATGGCACTAAGTAACTTTGGTCATCTTTTCGCATCAGTGTTTGTTCAGCATTTTCTCATGTCATCTCCAGTTTATGTTAGTTTAACCTGTTCAGTTAGTTTAACCTCAAATCAGGGCCTACGCAAGGGCTGCAGTATTAATAAAATGTATTTGTAAATATGGGAGAAAAAGCCACTTGTTTGTTAAGATTTGCTACAAGCGTATACAACTTGGCAGTTAAGAATCTTCTTTAACTTTCCAAGAGCTTGATCCTGTAGTCCTTAAATATATCAGATAACTTTTACATTGATAGTATGCCATATTTTTGTATCTGTTATTAATTTAAAAAATATTTTTTGAGTACAGTTTATGGAATGCCATTTTGAATCTCCTTAGAACTTAGTCTAGTCGCTGAGGTTTAGCCATGTGACTGGAAGCTGCCAGGTATGGGTGGGCAGAGGAAAATACCTAATTCGCATACAGTGCAGAATTGATGTTCTCTGAAAGCAGAATTTGAAGAGCATTTATTTTGCTGGCAAGACTGCTCACCCCTCTTGCTTATTCTGACTTGTGTGCAATTGTTTGGGCAGCTGAGCATAAAGAGAATTGGGGAGTGCAGGCAACTAGGAATGAGAAGGGAGCGGCAGAGTTGTAATGATTGATTAGGTCAACCATGCTGCTGAAAAAATGCTTATCAAACTATAGGCTGAGTACATCAGATGTCACATTTTTTGTGACATCAGATGGAAAAAATACTGGAGCAAATAATTCCCTAAAGAGAAGTGATAAAGCCTACTTCCCCAAGAGCTTATGGTTAGATTCTTTGATGTCTAATAGGGCACATGCTCTGTGTAAGGAGTTTTCACCTGACAGGGGCATTCATAATCTTTTTCTGGTATTAATTCTCTGATTCCCCATGAAGGCTGCAGCATGAGTACAGCCCTTACCTTTTTATGGTGATACTGGTAGGATTAGATCTACTACTACAAGACCACTTAAACCGGCCCAAAAGAGCGTAAAGTTTTGTGAGTTTCCCAGACTGTCTGGTCAAATCAGGCTGGAATTTGGTAACTAGTAGGAAAGTTACCAGGAAATGTCTTTGACATACATATGGAGACAGATTGTGTTGTCGTGGTTTGACCCCAGCCAGCAACTAGGCACCATGCAGCCGCTCACTCACTTGAGTTGAGATAAGAACAGCTTAATAGGACAGAAAGGAAGAAAATAATAATGATAATAACAATATTAAAATGACAACAACAATAAAAGAATTGGAATATACAAAACAAGTGATGCACAATGCAATTGCTCACCACTCACCGACCAATGCCCAGTTAGTTCCCGAGCAACGATCCGTGCCTCCTGGCCAACTCCCCCCAGTTTATATACTAGGCATGACATCACATGGTATGGAATGTTCCTTTGGCCAGTTTGGGTCAGCTGCCCTGGCTGTGTCCCCTTCCAACTTCTTGAGCCCCTCCAGACTTCTTGCTGGCTGGGCATGAGAAGCTGAAAAATCCTTGACTTTGTCTGAACATTACTTAGCAACAACTGAAAACATCAGTGTGTTACCAACATTATTCTCCTACTAAATCCAACACATAACACTATACCAGCTACTAGAAAGAAAATTAACTCTATCCCAGCCAAAACCAGGACATGTATAAATTTCATTTCTATAGGAGATCAAACAAAACATCTAATCTGCAACAGTGTTTATTTTTTTAGCATTCTGTTTTAAAACTCACTTCATTTGGTGAATTGTAGAAATAAATCATATCCAAATATAAATTACTGATCTCCTGCATGTTTTTAGAATTTTTACAATAATTTTGCTTTTTAGAGAATGACATTATAAATAAAATATTCCATGGTATTCCTTCAATTTTGTGGTCCAATCCTCTAGTAAAGCCAAATATTGACTATATGGATTGCTACATTATAGTAATCTAGAAGCTGTTTATTAATAGTCTGCTGTCTGACTGATCAGTAATACTGACTGTGTGGAGGACTTGTTCTTATGGACTCATCTTGACCATTGATGATTCAGTGCTGAACATTTGGTTGGATGATGTATCCTTACACCATTTCATCACAGGGTGGCCCATTTGTTGAAATATTCAGTGCTCAAGGCAAGAACCCAGGAGCAAAATGGAAGATTTTTGGCAATCCATCAGCTATATGGAAAGTAAGTTTTTAAAGAAACTTATAAAACCTAGAGTATAAACCAGAAAAATTTGAATGAAACTTAAAATTAGAAGATGGTGAGGGCTTTGACCTGACAGTGGAGTTGTCACTTGCAGTTCTGTCATTATGACACACTAAATGACTACTTTAATTAGTTCTTTATGCCTGCTTGCAGACTAGGTTGGTTGCATTGTAATTTCATAGTTTAAATAGAAACTAGTTATAGTTATTAGTTTCTAGTATAGTAACTAATTAGTTATAGTTATTAGTTACTAGTTATTAGTTACTAGTTACTATTAGAAACTAGTTACTAGTTTCATAGTTATTTTGCTATTCTGATAACTAATGGATTGAGTTGGGCCCATTGGATTGAGAGTCCTGTTTGTCAGCATTGTTTGTTCATAAAACATGCAAGTAAAGGACATATTTCTATGGGTTATCATTACCATCATATTTAAACTACTGCCATACTTGCAGTGATGTCTGCCATTTGTGATTTAAAAAAAAAAAAAGTAGTTTTGCATGTTAGTAGCATGGTTGGTTGTGAGGACAAGAATTCTATCAGGATGCTTGTGTTTGTTTATTGTTCCTTTTTGTAGGAATATGATAAAGAAGTAAAAGGCTTTGTTTTTGTACTTGAAGGAAGCAGTCAAATCAACAAAATGCAGCTACCAAAGGAAACTAGACAAACCTGTAAGTATCAAAAAATTAAATGTCTGTGGTGGTGTTCTGATTATTAAATCAGTCTCGTATTGGAATGTAAAACTTGTATTATTCTCCCTTACTTTGAGCATAATTCAGCATTACCGAAGTGTTTTTTCATTAACTATTTAGCAGGTCAGTTAGAATTAAGTAAAAAGTATAGAAATGCCATATTAAAGGAAGTGCTGTAGGGAAGATCCTTGTTGATACATGTTGTCCTAGGTTCACTTCTCTACCTGATCCTGCTACAGGCTGATCTCTGGCAAATAACTTCTGACTCTGTTCAGCACTTACTAAAGTCAATAATTCTATTGGCATTACAGAATGTGAAATAAATTCCTGTCCCCTTTCTTGTTTTACTTTTTAAAGTATTTTTACTTACATGTATCAAATAACCACTAGCAGTACAAGGAAGTTACACCCAAATTTCAGCAGCACTTATGTAATCAGTCTTTGATGGGTAGTATGGAGTGTTTCCCCAGTTTGTCTATTACTTACACCAGAATAAACCAGAATCAGAGCACTCTGTGTTTCTCAGAGCATACAGTAATCATCATAATTTATGCCATAAACTCCACTGCAGGGTATTGTACTTTATAAGGCTTGTAGTAATGAATTGAGCTGGCTGAGAATTAACTGCCTTTTGAAGAAAACTTGAGAAGGTGATTTTAGTCAAATGAAACGGGAATCTTCTAGTATGCTTCTCATGCAGGGTATAGAATTATAAATTAGTTTTTCCAAACAAACACAAAAAATAAATAAGAAATTGTATAGTCTGGTCATGCACTAAGGCCTTGAAGATTAATCTGAGTTTTATAAAAGAAATTTACTATTATCTTCAGTATAATAAATGCTAGTCTAATGTATCTTTCTGAGAAATCCAACTTTAATTTGTTTATTGCCAATGTTACGATAAACTATTACAGCCTGAAATGAGGATTGAGAATTAGTGTTGTAGATTATCCCTGCTAAGAATAGTTTGGTTTCAAATTTACCTTAGCTAGTGCTGCAATAGTACAGTTAAATTTCTATCTGTTACCATTCTGTCTCCCTCTGTCTCTTCCTCTCTCAAGGTGTATGTACTTCAGGTATTTCATTTATGTCAAGTATACAATCTCTTGAGTTGTAATCTTTGCAATACTCTGCGATCTTCAAATACGCTTCCAAAATAAAATACATTACATATACAAATATAATTTGAAATTTTAAAGTGTCATTTGACCCACAAAAGAAGGAAGTTCTGAACTGGCATTCTTTAGAAGAGGAGCTAATGTTGTTGTTGAGTCTTATAAAGTCAATGAAGAGCAGCCCATACCCCCCCTGATGGAATAATTAAGAAAACAGCATACAATTCAATTCAGACAGCTTTGTACTGTTTTCCCTTGATAGGGAGCTACATGAATCCTGAAAGATTTCTTGTGTTTGTTCCCTCAGTTAAGCTCCATTGCTATTGTTCTAAAAATCAGAAGCCTACAACTGAGCGTTGTAGTCATGATCTGGATTGCGTTTTTACCCAAGGATTTTTTGAAGATGTGTAATCAGGTGTATATTGTCACAAATGTGCACGCAAGTTTCATATGACTATAAGATAATCTTGATGGGAAAGTATTATTTTATTTTATAATGCCTATGGGATATTTGGTGTCTACATGCTCTTGGAACACAATGTAGAATTGTAAGAAAAAAAAAAAGGTTCCTTTTATTTTCATGAGAATTCCACCAAAGCCACAGATGGGAGTTTTAAAACAACACTTTTATTGCAGTTTGAATTGGTTTTCTTCAGGTTTTTCTTGTGTTCATATGTTGTGTGAACCTTGGGAAATAGTGTTGCAAGAGCATAGCTGTATCGTACAAAATGGAAATGCTTGATGGTGAAATGTGCATCTGCACACGCACAGCAGGTGTATTTAATTTTTTTCCTGTTTCTAGTGGGACTGATCCAGCAATTTCTGACACTTCAGATTTTTGTGCCATTGGGACAAGACTTCTCCACTGAGTTACTGTAAGATGCATAAGATTTCCTTGAATACTTAATGTATAAGTGAATGCCTGATTGCAGCCATTAATTGTGGTGGCAGATTTTGCATTAAAGTGCAGTGACTTATCAAGTCTATAAGAAGTTAATTAAGCTAATGAGATCATTCTTCCTTGGATGTTTTAAATACTGACATTCCTTTGAACACAGAACAAACTCTAAAAATCATGAATGAAGATGGTGAAAAATCTGAAGAAATTACATGAATTTATCAAACGTGAAAATACTGGCTCCTGAGAGTCTCCTGAAAATCCATAAGAGATTTATAAATAACTATTCCAGGCCCTTTCTGTTCAGGACAAAAAGTTATATATTCTAATAATTGGGGGAGAAAAAAACTGACCAAGCAAATGGTAAAAAGCCAGAACAACAAATGGAGTGCTCAATTGGTATAATTATGTCCATACTGTAAGGAAAGAGAGGTACCACTGAAACAGACTTTCATTAGTTTGATGTGGAATGATTTAATAGAGTTCTAAACTTGGGCAATTGTCGGTCTTTGGACAACATTTCCACCCTAGTGGCATAAGCTGTTTATAACTAGCACAACCCACTCAGCTTTGTAGCCAGTAGTACACCTAAGGTTTGGATTAACAAAAGAAATATTATGCCATTAGAAACCCTGCAAGAAAAGGTGGGTTGAATGATATGCAATTGAACTGAGTAAAGTCAATGCAGAAATTTATTTTTGTTTGTCTTTCTGTAACTTTGCATTCATCGGTGCCTATAGGTGTCAGCTTTTCTTGATTGTCAGAAATCTCCTGTGTGTGAAGTAAGGGGAAAAACAACTCTTGTAGGTTTAAGTCAAAGAGGACAAAACGAGATGCTGGGAAAATGTCATTCAAGCTGTACTGTAGTAGAGAAACAGCGTTCACTATAATGTGAATAATCTACTTCATGATATTAGGATGGTGTGCTATTTATTTTATGTTGCTGGCTAATTCTGTTATCTTCTGTCCCTTCACATAAGTAGAGTCATCTTGGCATTTTTTTGTTATTTTAACAAGAATATGCTAGTGTGAATTGAGTCATATTTATTAAAATTCCTCAGTGGATTTATAACAATGCATGCAGGTATTTTAGTATCATTTATAAGCCACATCGTGTTGGTAACATTATACAGTCCTCTGTGGCATGCTTAATTTCTAACATGATTTTAGAATCTGAACATTGCGAAAAATCTTCAAAGGATAAATTAACTTATTTAGCTCAGATCTTCACCAGAGAATTTTTTTACTTCTCCATGGAGCATGAAAATTTGAGAGTGAACACTGGGCTCAAAATACTTATTTTAAAGACAGCTTGACTCTATGAATCAAGATCTTGGTGCAGAAAATACTAACATTTTACTAATTTAAAGTGAGAAACTGCTGGCAGGAAAGCTGGTAGTTGTTGAATAGACCAGAAAACTGCAGGTTTTCAAGCCTTTCTCTTCAATTTCTCTTCCTACTACAGCCTTTACACATTTTCTGTTATGTTTTCCTTATAGTGGTTCTTTTTATTTCTTACCCCAGTTTTAATAGGTTTTTTGCTTAGGTGTTAGGTATCTCTAACATAAGCATACATGGCTTTAAAGCTACATATTTTTTTTTCCCTGCAACAGAAAGAGCTTCTTTGTGTGTCAAATCACACTGACTTTTCTGTTCCTGAGTGTAGTTCTGGTTACACTTTCTGCTCCTATGGTTTTAATTGCTGCATTGCTTCTAAAAGTGTGTAACAAAAGGGACAAAACAAACATGATATGTCATGCAGTAAGCAGAAACCCAAGTACATAGATTTGCTTCTCATAGGCGTTTGGTAGACAGATGGTAGAGACTTAATGACAGGTACAGGAATTCCGGTTTTCTATAGCGTCATATTGGGTTTGGTTCTTTTGGGTGCTTGCCATGCATCTATGCTTCTTAAAAAGAACTTCTTCTCCACTTTTCTTCTACTCATTTTTTCATCACTTGCTTTTTTTGATAACAGAGAGCTCTAATTTTCTACCACCTCTCCCACCTTTCTTTGCCCTTTCTCTTTCCAGCTCATATCTAGATTTTACATTTTCTTCATCTTTTCTCGGTACTTCCCATTCTCACCATTACTATGTCCCTCTTACAACAATATATATATGTCTACTTCTGTAGTATTCTTACAAAATACATGTATTAAATTTCTAGAAGTACGTATTTGTTATATATAGTTTATGTAAACATATACTATATTTACTATACAAAATTACTGTATTTAAATAGTTATGACTGTTATTTTTTACTTCTTTCTTTTTCTCTTCTCATCAACTTTCCTGATTCTAAATTAGTGTTATCAGAGAGCCTGATACAAATCCTAATTCTCTCACCTTCTTTTATGTTGAGTGATTTCAGTGTCTATGTGGATGAGGTAATCTCACTTGATACATTTCCATAGACTTTTTACAAAAGAATAGATGTTTAATTCAGTGTAACAGTTTCATTACTTCATTACTTATGTTTATAATCAAATCATGCTTATCCTGATAATTACATAAGTTCATCAATGCTTTCAGAGTAATTGGAGCTACTTAAATGTATACATGCCTAAAAAGTACAAACTCATTTGTTCCCCACTTAGTGCAACTGTATGCAGAAGTTAATAAAACTTCTTTAAAAATAAATTTAGTACTAAGTTTTGTATTAGAAATCAGCTGTAGCTTATTGATATACCTATAAACTCCTTCAAGACTTGCAAAATACACAGTGTATTTTATCCTAGCACACTGATGATAATCCAGTAAATAATGAAGATAAGTCCTTTTTGCTTCACGTGACTGCTATTCAGTTGTTTTCATTTCAGACATATTGAAAGGAATCTCTTGCTTGTTTGTGGACAGAATATTGACCGTGCTGTTGCTTCCTGCAGTTTAATGTTCAAAGATGGTTTCTTACATAATCTGACTACTTACTACTGAATCTTTGAGTAGCTTCAAGTGAAAACTGATAGCCAAGCCATCAAATTTACTTTATGTAAAAAAACCACTTTGGCAAGTTTGGTAATAGCTGTACATGATGCTTTATGGTACAGTTCTTCCTCTCCCATTCTGCAAAGAGATGGAAATATGAATTTAGTTCGAGCCTCATCCTCTTTTACATTCTGTTCAGTGATTGATCTGATCAGCAAACAGGAATTTCAAGGCCATCCCTCACTGCTGGCATCAGCTGAGCTAAACCTTCTAACTTGCTGCTATCAACCAGTCATGTGAGATTCCTGTCATAAATACCGTGCAAACAACTGTTCAAACTAGCTTTTTCCTTTGCCTTTTCTTTGGAAGAAATTTAAGTAGAATTTTAGATACTTTGTTAGGTGGCATGATTAGATGAGTATCACCACATTAACAATCAAGGTATTGATCTGCCTAAAAAATGGGTAAAATAGATTGTGGATGAAAAATTTGGTGAAGCATAATAAAATCACAGCTAAGGTAGAAGCATGTAATTTATGCAGCGTTTTTGAAGCAAATAATAGCAAAGCTGTTAGTAATGCTGAATATAGCCATCTGTTGTAAACGTAGTAGCCAGTTAAATCTTCAGTATTACAGATTTTGCTACCTTTCTGAAAAAGGAAAAGTAACTCAATGTTTGAAAAAATATTTGTGTGTAAAGAAAACAGCATCTGGCTTTTGTTGGCATTCTTGGTTTAATTCCCAATATGTGGACATGTGCAGGTGCTAACACTTCTGCTTGGCATTTTGACAAGCACACGAACATTCATTCATTCTTAAAATACTGATGCCAGTCATTGTCATACTTTATTTCTGATATGGTTTTTTTTCAATGTTAGGTATCACATGAAATTAGTACATCGTGTTTTACAGCAAATGAGTAGAGCTGTTGATGTGAGAAAATAGACCTTCAAGTTGTACCATAGCTTCCAAAAAAACCCCAGTAGAGTGGTCTGGGGTATGAACAAGGATCAGAAGCTCTACTTCTGGTTATGTACAGAAATATTATGTGGTCTTGTATGAGTTCCTGTAGGTTGCTCAGCCTTTTTTCCCCCAGTTCTCTCATATAAGTTATGGGAGTAATTTATCAATTTATTTCGAAAATATATTTTAAAGAGTTAACTAGCTCACTGTTGTATGATACTTCTAAATATATGAAGTGGTCAAAATAGGAGTTGTAGTAAATTTTAAAATCTGGTGGTTGATCAAGTACATTTTCATTGATATGCAGGCTAATGTGTGCTGATAGTACAGATTTAATATTTGATGTATTATCGTATCACTGAACAGAGGGCAGTTTAGGGAGATAGCATTTTTGATGAAAAAGAGAAGTTTTGCATTTGAGCATCCAGACAGGACAGAAGATAGTAACAACAAAATGTGTTCAAGCTAATATGTAAAGTGATCCAGCAAGGCTAGTGGCAGAAACAGAACTTGCTGATCCATTGCTGCAGCTCTTAAGTCATGCCATCTATCTCAACGATGACAACTTCACAGTACTTCAAACTACTTGTTTAAATCTTTAGATGGTAAGCAGCTGTAAATCATGTGTGGCATACTTTGTAAAGGTGGGGAGGTTTGAGATCTCATGTGAGATTCCACTCACGTCTGAGACATGAAAACCTGCACAGCAAAAATGCAAACTGTCAATGATAGCTGCTTCTCAGTCACAGAGAGTCCTGCTTCCGTAGCCCAGAACTTGGTGCATGATATTAACGTGCCATGGGACTGTGCTTTGTTGCCACTTCCTAGGATTAACTATGTCTCTTTATTCTTCATAATGTTTTAACCTTTTTTTAAGACTCAGCTGGCAGAGTGCTTATCGACAGATTTGCTCAGTTAGTATCCCACTATTCATAGTCAGATTAGCTTTGCTTGCCACTAGCCTTCACCAACTCCAGAAGGCATCAGTGCTTGTTATACTCTGAGGGGAGCACACACATTTTAGAAATATTTATATTAATAAGGAATTATTTTTCTGGTAAAGAGGTTAATCTTACAATATGTACTG